TTCTCTTTGTACTGTGTGAAGTTCAGTCGACATTATACATGTACATGTAGATAATATGAGCTGATGTGACTCGGTAATATTACCGTCAACGATCTGCAATTATTCTTAAACAAAATATCATGTTAATTTTTAAGTCGTCGACAAACCCAAGACTATGAACACTTCAGTGTTGATTCCGTTTTGTATTCTGAAAGCTAAGAAAACTCTGGATCGAAACCTGGTAAGTACATGTACAACAGAAAAAAAAACATTGCCTGATTGGCCGTTCTCTGATCTAGCGAGTGGCTGTCAATGTTCAACTGCCTAGTCCATGACCGTACCCACACCGTGAAGGCTGCACGTGGCGTCTCGTGGCTGTCTCTTGTCCACTGTGACAGTTGTTTTCATTTCGACAAACATCGATCCAGCGAGTTATGCACATGTTGCAGTTTTCAGATGCGTGTGATATTTTATCTGACCCAACTTTCTTGCATTATTTTATGTGAAGGGTCTGATGGAAGGCTTCCACGACGCTAAAAATAACTCCCATGAGTGTCAACAGAGTCATAGGCAAAGTAGGAGAATGCAGGGTTATGAAAACACCGTAGTTAGGGTTTCTTTGGAATGTTGAATGTCACTCCGGTCTTTTTCCCCTACACACGCGCAGGTCTTTCATGTTTGGTTTTGCTTCTGGGTATAAACCTAACTCAAGATGTCCAAGAGCATTGCTACTCGTTTGACGACTTAGAGAGAAATATTTTCTCTATTTTCCCTGATATTTTTCCTTTACTCTCCAAATTTGGACAATTCTGTTGATTGAAATTTAAAAGCAGGCATCAATTTTTGATTTTGAATGTTGGAAGCATGATAAGATGAAGCATGAAACGTGAAGTGAAAACCTTTTTATGAATACGTTAACATTGTTGAAAAAGTTTTAAGATTGCAAACAAGTCTCCATGAGGAACAGCTTGCCCCAACCTCCATCCTCCCTATACCCAGCAAGAAATGAGACGGAGGGGTACCCCCCCCCAACATATCCAATCCCTGTACACATTCCAGACTATTTTTACTTAACACATCCCCCAAGATGTCTGAAAGGAATTCCCCAGATTCCCGCGAGACAATGACCAACACAAAGCAGGGGGGTTCTCTCCGTCTCATACCTTGCTGCATATGTGATCCTCCCGCAGGATAAGTCACTGGGCAACCACCCAACCACCAGTCAACCTCAGGCCAACCACAAAGCATTGTTGCGGTGTCTCCGTTTAAGCCCAACGACCAGACTTTTAATTCTTGGGGGGGGGGCTTGCTAAAGGAATCTTGACTGAATTCTGATCGACATCTGATTGATTCGATCACTGAAGTGGAAACCATAGGTAGGAAGGTTGAACAAAACTAACTCTGCGGCGCCATGAATACGAGAATGCCCACCACAAACCATGGGTCAATTCACAAACGGTTCCATCCAACTGTGACATATCCCCTGTTCCTCCACGTTCTTGTAATCAAGCTTGCGCTTGCATTTGCCACGAACAAGAACGCTGCACTAAAAACTATTTTTTTTTATAAGTGCGAGGTTGTATAGTAATACGATTTCAAAGGACGCTAGGGAGCGATTCTGTTCCACGGAAATTAATCGCTGTCATGTCAAAATGTATATCTCTCCAAAAGCCATATCTTTTTTATTTGGAAGTAACAATACATGTACATTGTAAAATATGTTGTTATTGTTCCAGGGTTCATAAAACCCAACACTGTCTCATTTGAATTTAATCGTACGCGCTGTACATTACCACCAACAAGAGGGGAGTTATGTTATGAAACTCTGGAAACGATCCAGACCAAGTTTTGACGTCATGACCCGTCAAAAAATCATTGCCGTAAGGCTGTGATTTTCTAAGAATGGTTTTGTTTGTCTCGGATAGAATTGCTTGACTACTTTTCAAAGCCCTGAAATTTTTAAATGCTGGGAAATGAACCTGACCGATCCGTCGATCACCGTAAAATATCGATGTTTTCGTCGCGATGAATTGGTTAAGCACTTCAATGGTAAGAACTATAATTGCTTGCGTAATAAACAGGCTAATTTCGAAAGTTTGCCATCTTAGGACATTTGACGCAGGATATGGGACGGAGAGCACCCCCACCTTTGTGTTGGTAATCGTCTCGCAGGAATCTGGGGAATTCCTTTCAGACAACTTGGGGGGGGGATGTGTTAAGTAACAATGGTCTGGAATGTGTATAGGGATTGGACATGTTGGGGGGGGTACCCCTGGGTCTCATTTCTTGCTGGGTATATGTGTTAGGCAACAATAGTCTGGGGTGTGTATAGGGATTGGGCGTGTGGGGGTACCCCTCCGTCCCATATGTCTGAATTCTGCCATTCATATGATGCAAGATATGGGGCGGAGAGAACCCCCCCCGCCTTTGTGTTGCTCATTGTTTGATCGGAATCTCAGGAATTCTTTACAGACTTCTAGCTCAGNTATCGTGCACGGTACCCTGCCATTCAGCAACAGTTGGAATGAACTTAACTTCCTCAACAAGATGTTCAAAGACGTCAAAGGTTTTTGACGAAATTGCATGTCATAATCGGTAATTCGAATGATAAAGTTTTGAAGTAGCCGGGACAACGTATAAGTATGTAGATCGACTTGAATCGATCCAAATAGATACAGGCGTGTTTAATTGAAGCTTGTTTAATTCAAACTGCGCACGGCACTCGATTTAAATATTTACGCTGACAACTCGCTTCTTGCTGCGTTATTTCTCGCCACAGTTTTTCACCATATTGATGGAACAATACTTTTATTTTGATAACAGTTGGTAAAATGATGGACATAAGCATGAAGCCTACCAGCAGTGCAAAGGCCATAATGATCAAAACTTGCTTCATGAAGAAATTTCGTTGATATAATGGATAATTTTAGAAATTAGGGGTCACATCTGACACACGATTTTGTAAGTTCAGAACACGTTTTCTAATTTCCAAGATGCTAAATTAATGCAAATTACCTGCCAAACAAACAGTAATAGTTTGAAATCAATTCCGGTGACATTTCCATGTCAAATATCAAAGGTCAGATGTAACAGGGACACAAAAAGTCACACTTTTGGACCCCTAATTTCTGGAATTACCCATATGCGCAAGAAACACGAACAACAGCAAGCAAACTTAAGGGAATCTTGATGAAACAATGAATAAGATTAGTGTGAAGGGGGAAAGGCTGGGCATATATCATTCAATTGGTTCCACCGTGAATAGGCTCACCAGCTAGTTACATTGGTCAATTTCTTTCTCACTGGAAATCATACACAATTACATCAACCTTAGGACACCAAGGCTGCCGATGAATCGTGACATACTAAAGGTCAAATTTCCCAATTACCATACATTTCCAGAAATTTGCACTGCGCTCGGTTTTAAGGGAAAAAAGTTACGACTGAAACTAAGTGTTCCAAAGTCGTTCCCACCGACTGAAAAAATCGATCCTTCGACGTCCTGTGCGGGGATAATTCATTTATGTGCAATATTCAAATGTGGTTCGGCGCGACTCCGGCACGCCAGTCTGAACTGGGTTTGAAGTAGATTGGGATCAAACAAACATACATTCAACGCAACGAACTGGGAGAGATTTGTCATTAAGGTGCTCTACAAGAAACAGGCTAGTGCCTGTGAAGTGTATAGTTAAATTCAGCTTGACTTTTTGGCATAAACCAAGAAGCAAGACAAAATATGTCTAAGGTGATTAAAGAGAATTCTCTGTTGAGGAGTGTGTGCAAATTCAAGCGTGCGTGGTCGCCGATGACACTCGAAATTTCGGCCTCATGATGCGGGCCATGCAGGCCTACCCGTAGAGCAATGGCCTACCAGGCACCCTGGTGGTAACATATAAAGAAATCTGTGCGACCTTCAGCAGGGCATGAAAGGTACACGATCGTTCTCTAGCGTGCCGAGGGGAAGTGTGACAGCCGACTACATTAGTGAAATGAGCTGTTGAGTAGAGTTTCCCGTCAACCAGAAGCCACATGAAGAATGTTCGGGATAGTGGCACAGTATAGACTTTGATTTATCGTGAGAGTGAATCGAAATCAGATGCCACCACTATGATGACATTCTGGAAACCTGTCTTCCCAATGTAATTTATTAAGCACAACTTGTATAATACGTGACTAATGCAGATTCAACTAATTCCATTAACAGTTCATGGCTAATTATTTAAAATATTATCACGACAAATTATTAATTATACATGTAAAAAATCGCATTGCTCTTTTCAGCAAAATTTTGCTAAGCTTTTTTTAAAGCAATTAATATGCATCAGACATTTTTAAGGCTGGTGTTTGACATAATTCATTTATAAATATTCGCCATATTCCATTCGCTAAGTTAAACATTGTCAGAGTTGATTGGAAATACTTGCCCCTGTTGATTGCTGTGCAGGATTGACTGTTTCACAATTACAACGGATCATATTTTTCAAATATGTTTTAAATCTCTTTCCGTAGTTTAAAGAGTAAACAGTAGGTTAACTCTACTGCGTTAAATAAATCTAAATGAAAGACAAAAGGACACATATTTTTGAAAACGAGACGAAGCAGACAATCGCGTCGACGCAGTTTGTGAAATATTGTCCAATACAAAATGATCGCGGGACGTGCAAAATGGGGACAAACAAAACACAATGTACAAAATTCCATAGGGTTGTTCTACGGGACATGGCTAACTCACAAATAGCGATAGGTCAATACTCAATTGTGTAAGATTAATAGAATGGATGGAGCGTAAAATGGTATTCACTAGAAATGAAATCAAATGAAATGAAATCAAGAAGTACAATCTAAAATGATCGTCTCGTGAGTATTGGCCATTGATATACTTAATTTTTGCAAGCTAATGTCTCAGGTAATCAATGTCACTAAGTCTCATTTGGTTGCCCAAAACTTCTGTGCTTTTAATGGTTACAGTTTAGAAATTTACCGCCAAATAATTGAGTTCCCATCCAATTCTGCATCTACAGGTCTGACGATGGCGTGGTTGGCGGACCCGCCCCTCGAAGTCCGGAGTGCAGACAACTTTGTGGTGAATTTCACGATTCAAGTGGCGGACTCCTTCTTCGACTGGGCGGTGAGGAACGACACGTCTTACGCGGTGGAATACAAACCAGTTTTCCATCCCGACCTCAAACTGAAGTAAGTAGAAGAATTAGTACTGGGATGGAGTAGCTCATGATATGTCGTATATTGTTTGTAATGCTCAGCCTCGCATCTTATTTAATGATTGCAATGGCGAATTGGGAGGAGTAAACGAAAAAAAAGGCAGCAATTGGTCCGGGGGTTGTATAAAAAGGATTATGAGATAAAGGATGCACTAATTTCTTTTCCTTCCTAAGGTGTGTAAAATGATAGCCCCACGCCTTCCAAAGACCATGTGAGTGCATTGATATTTTGGGCTCCGGGAATTCGGTTCTGGCCCGCCCTTGATGATTGTTGTGCTTTTGGTGCGAACATGAGTTATAACGTTAACCACGACCCTAAAATGCCACCTTCTCTGCCGCCATTTCTCAAGTTTTTAGTCCACATGCGCAGGTGAATTCGCAGTAGGGGAGTGATTGCTACGTTGAAAGAATCCACGCCGATAAGAGAAAGCCGTGTTCATTTGGCGAGGTTTGGTTTTGGGTGGATCTTTCCGGTTGTTTTTACACGAACCATGCTTCTCTGTCCAGTTCTTCTGTATCATTTTCTAAAAAAATTGAAGGCACTTTGATACTTAAAAGTCGTTAGATGAAGTTAAAATTCAAAGCGGTTTTTTTCTGTATGCGCGACTCTCTCGTGCATGCTCAGTCTCTAGAAACGTGGATCCCTATGAGTTGTCTCGCTGTTGCCAAGTGTTCGCGTGTCAGCGCGCTGCGCTGTTGTTTTTGCAGTCGCTGTTGTGTTTTTCTGCCGTCCAATTTCATTGAGTCGGGGTACTGTCCGCACTTCATGAAAAATGGGCCAAACAAATCTCCGAAAAACTAAAGGAAAGGAAAGAGGTATAAATTTCGCTCCTTGCGGACATCTCAAACACGGTGGCTGGCATATTTATTGCCAGCTGCACACGTAAGCTAGGGGACCCAGTGTGTATTTATTTTTGCTCGGAAACGTCTGCGCAGGACGAGCGGGTTTTGTGTAAACCGTCTGTTGCGCTCGACTGCTTGGAATGTCCCCCAATCAAGCCGAGAATGGCCGCAATAATTAACGAGAATAGTTCGCTCTCAGTGTTCCTTATCGGCTTTTTTACGGGGAAATAAACGTGGCTTGAACAAGTCCAAGGTGCGAAGAGACATGTCTCGAGATATGAGAAATTCAGAAAGAATGATTGCCGGCTATCTTTGGGGAAGTTCGGGGAGAAAAGCACGTTGCGACATTTTTCATGATGCAGTAATTTTTCCTTGGTTTGGATTCACGAAATGATGTTTGGCAATTGTCACTTGGGGCTATTCAGTCAAGAGCAGAACCTTTCAGAATGTCACCAGCAGACTCGATCCCAAAAGCTAGCTTTTCTTTAGGCGTTTTTTTTAAATCCTTTTCTTCTAAAGCGTTCTTGCTTCGCCAATGCAGACCTCACAGAAAAAAAAGCTGCGCAATATTCGAAAGAGAGTGGATGTCCCTACCTGTTTATTCCAACACAAATTCACACATTACACAAATTGCACCCAAGAGACATGTGGGCCTTTGGATAGAAGCCAGTTTGATTCTTAAAGGGTGCATGACTTAAGCTTTATTTGGGAACGTAGCCTACTGTCGTATAGTTGAGCAAGAACAGATAAACAAAGACGAATTTCGGAGACAGCAAAAATCTACCAAATTTTGTCACATCTTCAAACTAGAAATGTTGTGACATTGATTTACCGCCGAGGATGAAATGACATCACATTTTTGATCACCAATATGCAAAGTTGCATTGGTGTGAAATACAATATACACATAAATGCCCTCAGAAATATAGAACATAGATTGAACATAAGGTCAAAAGGGAAACATTGAAAAATAGTACTGCAAGAGCCCTTACTGTTCAGGTTTCTGATGGAAAATGGCATTATGTTTTCTTTTTTAAGATTTCTCCCTTTTTATAAGTCTTTCATCGGTGTAAACACAGGACCTAATTAAAACTCAATGTACTATTCTAACTGCTCCCCGTATTTACTGCTCTCGGATACTTCCTTTTTCCTTGAAGCAAACTCATGCATGGTTGAAGCAATCTAGCACAGGTAAGGGTTTTGTGATTTTCTGGTTTTTTAACTCTGCTGGGAAAAATGCAATAAATGATTGAAAACATTTTCTACTGAGGTGAACGTTCCATCGACCAACGAGGCTGGGCAGACACCGTTTTCGTCGATTGCCTTGAGCGATGTCAGAAACCTTGTAAGTTTTTTGGATATTGAAAAGGCCTGGAAATTGAACCAAACTGACAAAAATTAGTTTCCTGCTGCAAGCAAAGGTGGACCTTTTCCATCTGATAGTAGCATGTATGCGCTGTACTCTTTTTTCGGCATCACATGGTTGATCAGGAGCAGGGGGCAAGGTGGTAAACTTTCCCCACTCCAGGGGATATGTTGCCCTTTTTTTTTCTTTTTTTCAAGAATTGAAAGCGCTAACACTGCCTCGGTTGTGGGAGAATTCTCTTACGGATGAATATCATGCACAGTCTTTTCAGAAACAAGTAGTTAATCCCCTCCCACTCAAAATCTGGACACGCCACTGCTCAGCAAGGATGGTAACACCCAATTTCTTTCTTTATCAAGCGTCCTCTTTCATTTTGTCCTTCTGTTTCATGTGCGCGTTTGAAAAGTGCACCAGTAAACATACAGCCCTATCTTGTTGGGCGAGCTCCATCTTTATGGTCGCTCGTGTAATGAGATTGCTGATAAACTCGCGCCCAAGCAGACTGGCAGGGACGTTTACTCGAATGTCTTGCGCTTCTCCGAAAAGGCGGATTTGGTTAGCACCCTTTGGGAGCTGAGACCATACAGCTATGCTGAGACATCGCTGTCGTTCGTGTTTGTCGTTGGAAAAATGAATGATGGTTGACGCTACGCTGCGTTACACGGGAAAAATCCATCAACTCCGTCCCGCCTAAAAACGATACTAAATTGTGTTTTTCCCACGGAGTGAATGTTGAGGAAACATTCCTGTTGTAGGGCCTGTCGTGCGAAGCATGAGTGAAGTTGAGCCTAAACTACCGACTAATAGTGCCGAATAAATCTTCAGCTAAATATAATGTGGCATAATAAATTGAGAATCAAATAATATTGAGTGTAGGTAGGCCTATTCACAACAAAACAGCGCTACCTTCCCAAGTCTGATCTAGTTTGCTATTTTGTCCTTTCTTATTGTATTAATGGCTATGACTAATGCACCTTAATTTCTGCGGAGCTTGTATATTATTAATTGCACCGTGTATTTACGCATCCCTGTGAACCTTCTATGGTCGTATAGAAATGTTTAATTGCCGGGATACCGTGTTTGCTTTGATCTAAGGCCGGCGGAAAACTGAAGGTCTCAGTCTCGATTGTCTGTGCGTACATGACCGGGCGATTCAGAATGTGTCTCAAAATAAGTGCGTCTAGCAATCCTATCTACCCTTTACATTGAAATATTCCTCTAGTATACAAAAAACTGTGGAAGTCGTTCTTGATACTGACCATGTTATACTAGCAACATTCGGGGTTTGCTTTGAAAAGCAACAGAATAATGAGCCAGTTCGGTATTTCAAAGGGGCAAGGTCTTTCCCGGCACGCGCGTGCGTCGGCGTACCGTATGGATGTGTTGGTCGGGCAGACAGTCGCACTAGTGCTGCTGTTCCCGAATGACCTTAGACGCGCTTCAGTCTGGGCGTGCGCTGTTGGAATACTAAATAGTTCTACAACATAATGACGTAATGCAGTGTTTACCGCGGTGCATTGTGGGTGAAAGGTGGGGATGTTGCAGGAGCGCATCAACGTGACACGTTATGTGTAATGTATTGCGTGTGTATCGACCTCACACGAAAAAAATAAAAATAAAAAATACCCGATTATCGTCCGAAATGGTCCACGTGAACTGCCGTGTTCCACTGTGTTTATCAAGCACTCAACGAACGCCAGAGCTGCGTGTTTTTAACTTCCACGGGACCGCAAAAGGCGACAGATTTGGATAAGTTCCGTGAAAAATAAGGCCATCAAAGCGAGGTCCAAGTGGACCAACCTCTGTATGCAGTCTACATTTTGTAGGCGGAGACAAAACTTACCATGTACCGGATCCAACGATTTTCCCGTGGACAGGTGAGTGGGAGGAGGTTTCCCGGCAAAATGAACAAGAAGAAGCTGCCTTTCTCTTCAGACATGATTTGGGAACTTCATACACGAAACTCTTTCTCATGATTTTACTGGTACAACAGAGGAGAACTGCCTAACTTCTTATAGAAATCTTTGCCTATTTTTCCATTTCATCTGTGAACGCTGATGAACTTAACTTAGCAAGGTTAGCATGCTAGCCCAAGCATGCATAGGGCTTACCTGCATACACTCGGGCATGTCGGGAGACAAGCCCGCTTTTGTACTGGTCCTGGTTGTTCGCCGCCGCTCGCTTGCATATTGAACTCGAACTTGAAGCTTGGTTTGGCTGCAAGATTGGCAGTGGTTGTAGGTTTGCAGTAGCGGGAAAGCTTCTTCGTTGTTCATTTTGCCGGGAAACAACCTCCTCCCACTCACTTGTCCACGGGAAAATCGTTGGATCTGGTACATCGTAAGTTTTGTCTCCGCCTACAAAATGTAGACTGCATACAGAGGTTGGTCCACTTGGACCTCGCTTTGATGGCCTTATTTCTCACGGAACTTTTCCAAATCTGTCGCCTTTTGCGGTCCCTTGGAAGTTAAAAAAACCGCAGCTCTGGCATTTGTTGAGTGCTTGATAAACACAATGGAACACAGCAGTTCACAAGGACCATTTCTGGCTATAATCGGGATTTAAATTTTTTTTCTCGATTCACACGCAATATAGTACACGTTAATACACATAACGTGTACGCACGCGTTCCTGCAACATCGCCACCTTTCACCCACAATGCACCGCGATACGTCATTATGTTGTAGGTCTATTGGCTTATTGTGTCTCTCATGGGTGCACTGAACCAATTCAAGCTCCATTGAAAATAGCGCAAAAATCAACCAAGTTTGGAGCCCCATGGCAGGTAATTGAAGTCCCTGAGGCCTCTCAAACAAAAAACAATGTGTTGTTTGGTCCTCCAGATTTCATTTGATTTTCAGTTTTTAATAGGTTAACCGATGAAATTTTTTAATTATCCTCAAAAACAAACTCAACCCCCAAAAAGTCAATGTTCCCAAGTCTCCTCAGCGGCCATTTTTCAAATGACATCCCTCTTCTGACAAATTTTCAATCACATTTTTGTCTGCATTGCCCCCAGATGGGTGCCCCTGAATCTACAGAGATGATCCCGGGCCATACTGGCACAATCCCACCATTTCTTGGCCCGAACAGACCCCTCTTTTCGAAAGAATCTGTAGGGGTTCTTTTTTTGCGCCTTCGCCTGGCGGAGAATTTTCCTTGAATTGGGACACTGCACCCTCATGAGGTGGACTTATCCAAGAGGAAGCCATAACTGTGGTGGTACCGTATCACATCCCCAACTTCGACTTTATGGGCTGTGTGCGCGTTCCTTTACTAGCCCCTGGTCGTGTAGAATTCGAAATGACGTTGACTGGCTATCCAGGATGAATGTACGTAAACGTAAAGTGAATCGCACGCGTATGCCAAAAGCCACACGCTCGCGCCCCTATATTCTCCTTCACGTCGTGCGCGCATAAATCTGCGTCGCGCGTAAAGACACCGACTAAAGGCCCCATTTAAATCTCTCAAATAGGGTGCGTTCGATTAGCTCAGACGTGTAATTCACACTTACACGAGAGCGTTCGTTTGGCCATCACGTGATCTTCGTGCCCGCTCTGGTGTCAGCCACCACTACCTCTGCTGGCGAGCGGGTCTCTTGAGGCTGCCCGAGTGTAATGACGTCACGGATGGACTGTTCGAGCATGGGCATGATGGGACGTGGTGGGGACTTGACCTTTTTCCCAGAATGCCTTGGCGAATACATTGCAGCGTTCGATTAGCCTCAGGGAAGCTAATCGAACGCACCCTTAGTGGTATACAGTGTATTTAAATTATACAATACCAGGGTTAGATCGGGCAAGGCATAGTGGGAACCAACATGGCACGGCAAGATTGTAACCCATGAGAACTAGGTTGTCACATCCCATGCACGTCGCATGTGTTCTAAACTTGGCAATGCCCGTTTGTTGGGTGAAGGCTCCTTTCCCATAATTCTGTACGTTTTTGGTGCGTTGCGTACACGATGCGTTCATGCGTTTCACTTTCACTGACACAAACATCGATTCCTTTAACATTGCACCCCGGATGCAAAACGGATGACTGATGCAAAACGCTCGGCGCAAGTGTTGACGCGTATATGGAAAGGCGCCTTGAGGCATTGAACGCGCCCTGTCGTCTCTGACGTAGAAATCGCTTAAAAGCATTTCGAACTAAACTGAGAAAATTCCCATTTGGGTCGGAATCATTCCGTTGGATGTTCTTTATGGCGTATCGTTACTTCTTCTTGCGTTCAAGATTTCAAAGTCAGGATAAAAAAAATAGGCTAAGCTGGAGACGGATACAAAGCTGCAACTTGGAACCCCCCCCCCCGTTCTGGTCGTCGGGTGTGCCTATAAAGAGCTGGTCTTTCTTTGATGCTTAACGGCTTTTATTGGGTCGCCAGTTGGCAAGACTCGCCTGTACCACTTGTCCAATAATCGTTTACTTTTTTCGGTGAATACATGTCCACGTTAGAAAAAAATGTATAGAGTCCTGCCGAATTCAGTTGTATTTTATTTTTTCAGTGAAATATACACCTTGTTCTATTTGTGGATATAAATATACTTGAATTGGTAGAGGAGTCAGCCGCACAGGAATTGCTAGAAGCACATTCATTGTTGACGTAACGATAAACATTTCGAAAGTGGGATATTGTAAATGTCAAGTTTAATCTACTAATATGTATTTAGAGGGAGTGGTGTATGAAACATATTCATCGAGCTGTTCTTATAAGGGCATTTTAATAACCCAGTAGTCCTCAATACTCCTATTGCAATGTGATTTTTACACGCCAAAGGGAATGATTAATCCGCTTTATTAATCTGCATTGACAATACAGAGACGACGTAGGAAGTGGATTGAAATTTGTCATTGCTTTTGCTATAGGGAAATACATGTATACTCCACATTGTTGTTATCTAAGAAGATTTACGAGAGCTTTAAATATTTTTCGTTTTGATTCATGCTTCCCTTTGATATTCTTCGCCATGACTGTTATACAATCGGTCTGTGCATTTCCTTTTTCCCGCCAACAGGACGGGCTCGGAGGCGAGACGATGGTGCGAAAGCACCCGCTGCCCTGATAAGTCAAATGCTGATCAATACAACTGTTGTTTCCATCACGTCAACGTTCACTCCTGCCCTCAGGACAAGGTAAGCGTCGAGTGTCGGTTGTGTGCAATCTTTGTTCGCGATGATTCTTTTGGCTTGGAATTTCACAGCTTTCACTCACAAATACTGTGATTTTGCAGTACTCTGGCCATGTGGTATGATGCCCACAAAACTATTGTTCACGAGGAGAGCTTCTCGCTTTATACACTGCCCACCCTTGCTTTGAATTAATCTATAGATTTTGCTAATGTGGCTCCCGTTGCTTTTCAACTTCGCTGCAACCTTCCTTGAACCGCGCCACGCTCCAGTGCAGCTCACAGCCACGGTCATAAGATATTCCTTGGTCGTCCTTGGTTACTTCTCTGCCTCCCTACAGTTTATTAACCTTCCCTCCCCTGCCGCCTCGAAGATAGGCCTCGGTCTGGCTTTGTGCCGCCTTTTTAATCGCGCCGGCCACGTCCCCGCCTCTATCAATTAGAACTGCTGGTAGTCGCTCTCAAATAAATTACTCTTACTCAAGTGCCTTCAATTCGAGCGTATAAGGAGGGAAATGCTTTTCTTTGAGGCAGTATTTCGACACAACTATAATTATCGATTTTACATCGCTGCAGCAGAAGCTTCGACACAGAGATGTATTACAAAAGAGAATGAACTGCAGTGATATGGGATTGTTTCCCAGTATTTTATCACGTGGTTCGACTTTTCATGCCAGAGTTTTGGAGGTTTATAATGTTCAAGTATTGCTTACACTCTCGAATATGCCAGCTTTGTAACTAGACTCTTTGGCTAAAAGTGAATATTGTGTTTCGGGTTTTCTTGAGGGAAGGCCATTGATTGAAGTAGTCATTTTGGGTTGCCTCTTCTGGAACACCTTGTCAGAGGGATTCTTTACGAACAAGGTGACCTTAGGCAGTAAAACTATGATATCAAAGAACTCATGAGGAAGTCTTGAAATAGTGGGAGAAAGAGCGAGCAAGTGAGACTCGTCAGAAAATCAAAGTTTTATCTGAAGGGAGTTTAGGCCTAGAATGCTATCCTTTTAACCAGAATTACTGGCTAATGAAAAAAATTCGTATTAGTGTTGTGCTTAATTCATAAAAGCAGAATTCTTGCATGTGTAATGGGTCTCATGCTGCCACGTGTCCAAGTTCTGTAGTGCGTTATCCGTGTTTAAAGATTTTCAAAGATTTTTGTTTGTCTTCTGCCGAAAATAATGCCTCCTCTCGCGGCCATGTGAATTTTCGACCTAGAGGCTTGACTCAAGACTTGATTTTGAATCAATTCTTGTTTGGGAAGGAGTAATCGCGAGATAGCTGGAAGTTTTAGAATGGCATTGATGTTTATTCGGCTCACTTACGAATTCCATCAATTCCTCCGGGTCTCACGGTAGATTACCAGCTTACCAAACATTTATTTATTTCCAGTGGAGGCAATTATGACTTGGAATTGACTGCTTGATTTGTTCCAGCCAGCTCATGAAACGCTCGACTTGATCAACATTGCAATGTTGAGGCACTTCGCGCTTTCTTGCCTGGACACGCTCCGATGATGTAGCGCTGAACCGTTCATGCCCGGCACCGGGGGGAGCGTTTAAGCTGCGTGTCCCGGCCTGTTTCCCCGGGGTGTGGTGCGTCGCATGATTCAGTTTAATCCCAATTAAGGGTCCTCAGTTTCACAATTTGCAATGCAAATGGTGTTTTGATGGCATTTGCCACACATCTCGTCCGGTTGACTGCTCTGTATTGTGCGTTTCGACTCCTAAATTGCCCCGTAATGAAGGCTTGACATATGGTCCCGCCGAAACTACTGGATGAAACATAGTAAAGTGTCTAGCAGTTTGAATGGTACAAGTCTGCCATTGTCCCAGTACGTGAAGTTCAAGTATCTCTGTGCTTACAAACCGCTCTAATATTGCCTGTACTATTTGTATGGGTGGCCAAAATTATGCAGAACTATCTCCCACTGTTGGTGTACATTTACTCCATTGTAGAGGATCGTGTCTCTATTTAATGTGTAGTAGTCTAATGTTCACAGCACGAGACTTTGTGACACAATGTGACTTAGTTGTAGTTTCCGAGCCACCTGCCATTTGTTGGCAAAAATTCATCTATGACAGAAGGTTCAGACCCTATAGGCCTGCGGGTTTCCAACGACGTGCTATTCTTCATGTCTATGAAGCAATTTATATAGGCCTGCTTCTAAACTCTGCAACACCAATGATATTTTAAATAAAAACTTAACTGTAAATAAAAACGAATGGGCCTATTACCCCATGCACAACTTATTTACGAAAACCACATGATCACCAGTTCCAATTACTTGTATTGTGATTAAGTCCTACTAATACATTTCTAAAACTCCAAATTGTCATGTTTCCCTTTATCTCTCGTGTCACTTCCTGCTCTTCGGTTATTTGGTAGCCATCTCTTTTTCCCCAAATTAAATCTGTGCGCCGTTCTCCAGAAAGTATTCAATCAAATTCAAAGAGCTGTCTTGATGATGTACATATAGGATAAACCATCATTTAAAATATTATTTGTTAAGATTTGACATGGGTTATTTTCCTTAATTGCAACTTGTTATAATATGACGTGGTGACGGAAAGATGGGACGCAAACCTTTGGTGAGAGGTCGCAATTGCTGACTCGATGAGGTCGGTTATGTTAAGGGTTCAGTGCACTATTTCAAGTAATAATTTCTGCTGAGCTCGTCAGCGTAAAATGTGCCCCACAGTTTCTTTTGAAAAAAAAAAGATATTCTTTGGCCAAGAAATAAAGGGATTGTGGAAATATGGGCCAGGATCAACACCCTTGGTTTAGGGGCTTTGATCCGAGGGCAGAGTTGGTAAAATTACAGATGTAAAACTGTCCTCAGCTGCAGTGTCCGAGAAAGTAGAGGGAAGCTACTTGGCTGCGAGCAGGTTTGGGAACTATCATTTGTCCAACCTGACTTTGGTTTTAAAATGAGAATAATTGAAAATGTCACTGGCTAAACCCCCAAATGACAAGAAATGGATACTAGGGATAGGACAATAATTTAATTTTTGTTTGAGAAACTCCAATAATATCAGTTAGCATATTATAGAGCCGTGAACTTTGTTGCTTTTACACTTTTGTCAATGGGTTTTGAATTAGTTCACTCACCCTTAATGTGAATAAACAAACCCTGTGTAATGATGGTGTATCACAGTGTTGGTTGGTATCAATACATTGGTAGGACCGAGTGGTGGTGATCAGTGTATATATACACTGCCATCATAAACATATGAGTACGGTTTTTCTCAATTTCAAGAGGGCAGATATTTTGTGTAACTATGGTTTTGAATCTTCAGGGGGGAATTATTCTCGACAACTTGAAACGTATTGCACCTTTCACTTTCTTTTGAAGAAATGAAACTTGTATGTGCGCCATTTCTATATACTCGTGGCATACGAAGACACCCATTCTATCCCACCAGATACTGCGGTAAACATAGTGATACGTCATCAGTACATGGGCTATAGTATTATTGTGAGTGGAGTTTTGAAGACCTCTAAGGATCATGTCACCAAAAAGAAACTTTGCGTCAATCGTGCGTAATGCAAAAACCGTTGTCTCTTTCGGTTGCAGTGTTTCAAGTGGACTCATGCTATTTGCAGAACTTTGGGGGAATTTGGAAACTTCAAAATTCTTTGTCCACTGTAGGTAATGTTGTTTTAGCTGTGAATGGTACTGAGCACGAAGTCAAAAAATCAAACCTTTAATCCTTTGTTGCCTCTACAGGTCGTATCTTCAAGCTTTACAAATGACAGCCATTTGCACCCTGTCATTCCAAATAATCGAAGGAAAAAAAGCTAATCCTCTTTCCTGCCTGAGACAGACACTCGGCATCGTCTGGGGCTAATTGATCGCTGCTTTTAGGAATCCGGGGGCCGACATATCTAATCCTCGTTGAGGACATGAGCAAAGTCCGAGAACATCACTTGTTGATAAGCTCCACCCGTCGCCATTGGGGTCAGGATGATCAATAGCAAGCCGAGTGATAATTGAATTGGCCCAGTTTCCGGAATTAATTGCGCACTACCTAGCCAGCCAGTACCATTGGAACTTGCCGCTCGAATCCGAAAGCTGTGTTCTATTCCTTTTTCTGTCTCTGCTGCAAAAAAAGTGAAAGTCTTTTTTTTTTTTGCTTTACTACTCAGCCTTGGCTCTCATTTGACACGTGATCTGCAGTTAAGCATTAAGCTTGTTTTCTTTTTCGCACGAACGCAAATTGCATGTGAGCGTCTTGAAACAGTTTTCCGCGGAAATCAATCAAGGTAGGAAAATATGATCAAAGTTTCAGATTTGCTGTGCAAATTTCTGTTGATACGACAAAATCCGCTTAGTATCATGCACTAGAGGGAAATGTGGTGCGAGCTAGAAATAAAAGTGATCATGGAGGTAGATAGAAGTGATGTACCGAATTGCATCTGTCCCATGTGTGTTTGTACCGATGATCCGTAAGATTAGGGTATCGTGAAGTCAAGGAAATTGAGAAATACGTTGGATTCTCTGTCCGTAACAGCCTTTCAACGCGGCCTAACTGCTTATTTTTGGCAGTCTGCCATCTTTGATATCAGGCCGATTCCGAATAGGTTATATTTTGAGGCGTCTGACCGTTCCGGTGAATAATTACCGGAAACAAAGAGCCTGTTTGTTTCACGCGGATCTGGATCGCGATCAGCGATCTGAAGCTGGTTTGCACTATCCACAAGTCAGGGTCTGGTGTTAGTGAACCAACCTCAGATCACTGATCGCGACCCGGATCCGCGTGAAAAACAGGCCCCCAAAGCCAACATGGCACCACGCTCGTGCGCGTGTACTTTACGCAAGCGTTGAATAAATTATTACTCTTTGGCCAATACGGGCGTTTCACAATAGTGCGCCTTCAAGCGTTTGCAACGCGTTGGCCAATCGCAATGCATGAAATATATCGACCCAATGCGTCTTTGGAAAAGGTTGATACATTTTGCGCGTTGTGATTGGCCAATGCGTCGCAAACTCTTTGAAGCGCAGTATTG